AGCCACGTGCACCAGCATGCTGCTTGTTCATGTTAAACCATAGCTTATTTCAGATTATGGCTTACTGTGATGTGCCAACTAAGACATTATGTGCCAACTAAGACATTCTGGACAAAATACATTCTGGAGGTTTACATCAATAATCAAATAATAGATCTTATTCTAATTGCCCCTGCACTTATCAATAGTTTTTAATTCTTTCCTGCCACTGCTAGGAAACATTTCTTGAAAAGGTTTGACAATTAGATGTTGTTTTCTGTTTGAATGAGACTGACCTTATAAGAGGTCAGGAAATAATTGCCCTTAGGATACACTATCCAATGATCTTGGAATAATTTGTGTTATGTTTCCCCTTCCTCTGCAAATTTTTTCTATTTGGATATATTCTGACTATATTTATCATTTTCTCTATGGAATGGCTTATGGTAACTACTAATGTTCTGTATGGGTGTGTCCTTGGCTTTTTGATACAAAATGCTATTAATGTTATTAATATATGTTTGACTTTAGAATAGTATTTAGTAGCCAGGTCAGAATCAGCATGGATAGCATGCAGCTCTAGTGCAAGATGCTGCTTAAGTCCACACCTAGTTACATCTAACATTAATTCGCTCAAAACATTTACCGTTTAGCTCTTCAAAGTGCAAAGTGGCTCCTAACAGTGAGTGTGTGTGTGCGTGTGTGCACGCACACACACACAGTCCCATGATGAAGATGAAATGATGTTGTTCTTAAGCATATGGAGCTTTGAGGATGAAATGCTCAGAAGGGCTTCATTCATGGAAGTTAAGTGGAACTATCCTCCAGGCTGAGGCCATGGGGAGCCAATGTATCCTGTGTGGTCATCCAGAAGTTCTCCCTCTTGGCTGACATGGTTGCATCTAAAAGTTAACAGGTATAATGATCTCTGACAGGAGAACAAGTCCCAATAAGAAGTAATGACTTTCCAGCAGTTTTAAGTGTGTTTATTTACAAAAAGACACATCCAGAGCATGGCTTCTCACCTGCTCGCATTTACGATAGTTGGTCAGTCTTAATTTTCGCCCCTCCCACAGCAGGAAGGATGCCAAACTCCTGCCTTTTCCCTCTTGCCCTTCCGTTGCCATCTGATCTTATCCAGATGCCTAGAACGGGGACTGAGAGGCTAGCCTGCCCCCTCTCCACTTTCACTCAACACAGACTCAGACCTCTGCTTATCTGCTGATTGCCTAGCAACGCTCTGGCTGCCTTCCAACTCTTCCTCTGCTTGAGCACTAACAGAGTCTTCCCTGGGAAGGGGGTTGAACTGCCCTTTCTTGACTATGTCAACCAGCTCTCTTCTGCAGAGTCGGTCCCTCGTTCACTTAGTTTGATTTCTGAGTCTAACTCTTCCCCTGCACTCTGGTTCCTGACAACTGGTAACTCAGGTAGTGGTTCTCAGAATTTAAAGGTTTAGCAACTGGTTTCTCCACTTTTTAAAAGTCAAAATTGAAGATTTCTGGTTTCTAAAATATGTGCAGAGGTCAGCTGTAGCTCTACCTACATACCCAATATGACGTCCTATTTTTTGCACTCATTGATTTAGGTTCTATCACAGGACCTGAAGGTGATGGTGAAGTAGTAAAGTCCAGTAAAATAGTAGCAGTTGTCCTGCTGCTCCAAATCCCAACAGGCACCCAGAGCAAGCGGGAATGAAGTGCTACTTGATGCATAGCCACAAATAAATAAAAGGCTATCATTAATATGTCAGTACCATCAAGACAATCAAGAGCAGCTGCAACATGAGACTACATTCCCCACACTCAAATGCTGTAAGCCTTTCATAAAAGGGCAAAGTTTTACAATATCCTCTCCAAAAAGTATCTCCAAAGCTGCAGAACAGCTTTGAACCACTCTGGAGAGGTTGCACATTCTTAGAACAATTGAGGTAAAAATTGCTTGCTTGAATCTTTTTGTGCGGCCACATGGTGAAGAGACTGCCTTGTATAATATGAACTAAGGCTGATAGAAAAATGGTCTTTTCCATTACACCTTTGATACAAATTGGCATCCCCTACCAAAACCTCAGCCAAACGCGTGTTCTTCTCCTGTTTACTCTGACTTCCATAATACTTTCTGCTCCCAGTTCCCTGCACTGCCAGGCTGACAATTACAAATGGCCAGAGATGATGGAAATTGTAATACAATAACATCTGGAGGGCCACAGGCTACCAATCCATGCCCTGTTGTGTCCCCTACATCCAAGTGGAAATTGCAAATATCCAATTGTAGATTGCATGCACCTCAAAGCAAGAACCCATCTACTACTGCAACACTGTAAAGCTCCATGATGCTAATTATATAATTAAATACATAAATAGATACATGAAGCCCATTTCAAGTCAGCGGGAGGCAGCTGCTCTCGTAAGAATGGGAGCCTCAGAAATAGCAGGAAAGATTTCATGATTTTCCAAGTTGAAAGTGACAAGTCGCTTGGGCTCTTGATTATATCCCATCTGCCACCTTTGTTAGGCCATTAAAATGTGTTTTTTTAAATGAAGAAATAAGCAGCATCCTCGAGCTAATGAATGTTAAATTATTAGTATAAACATGCCACCTTTTATTTCTGCCTCCAAAAACGTCTTTTCTCTGTTTTGTTTTCTAACTAAATTGCTATAATTTATCACATTAACTTGAGCTGCTCTTTTTTGCTGAGACATCTGTGAGGGGGCAGTCTCAGGTAAAAATAAAAAACAACTGCATGAAATCCTCAGTAGCTATTACTACAAAACACCCGCCCACGCCCACGCCCAAATGGCGAGATTCTGTGGGTTTGCCACCTGCTGGCTCTTATTTCTTCAGGTTTAGCAGCCTCAAATAACATTTCACTCAGTTCTTTATTTAGAAAGCTAAAGTCAAAAGGAACAGCAGAGGGGTCTTATTTAAAAAAAGGAAAGGAAAGGAGAAATAAGCACTAGACAGAAGCTTGAAGTTAAGGGAAAATATTACAGGGAGCCGCTATCTCTATGAACATTTACTGTATAGTCAGCAACTAGTTTTCTTGGAGGACCACTAGGAGATGTGAGTGAGGGGAGGTGGGGCCTGGCAGGAGGTTCTGTTCCCACTAGGTCTGCCTGCTATGTGGTTTTTGCCTCTCAGTTGAAGAACATAAAGAGAGCCCTGCTGCTGGTTCAGGTAAAGAGCACACCTGAGTCCAGCACTCTGTTCTCATAAGGGCCAACCAAATGCCCCTGGGAAACCCACAGGCAGAACCAAAATGCAACACTCCTGTCCACATCTGGGATTTCCAGTAAATTTTATTTAGAGGTATACTGCTTCAACTTCCTCAGACAAAGCATCTCTCAAGGGAATGGATTTGGACCAGGGCCTCCACAAGTTGCTCACCCGTAGCATACTTGCATGCAAGATATTGATAGTATATTATTAATTATTATTATTATTATTATTATTATTATTATTATTATTATTATTATTACATCTATTAACTCCTTTCCATGCAATTTTTTTAATATTCCAAATTATGGGTGTGTGGGTGTGTGTATTATGGTTGTGTGTGTGAGGTGTGTATATCACCTCATCTGTCTCCTGAGAAATCTCTATGTGGGAGAAGAAGCTACAGTTAGAACTGGATATGGAACAACTGATTGGTTCAAAGTTGGGAAAGGAGTACGACAAGGCTGTATATTGTCTCCCTGCTTATTGAACTTATATGCAGAATTCATCATGCGAAAGGCTGGGCTGGATGAATCCCTAGCCGGAATTAAGATTGCCGGAAGAAATATCAACAACCTCAGATATGCAGATGACACAACCTTGATGGCAGAAAGTGAGGAGGAATTAAAGAACTATTTAATGACGGTGAAAGAGGAGAGCACAAAATATGGTCTAAAGCCCTTCCCCCACCTCCCGCAAAAGCCAGGGATAGCCGCGCTCCCTTTAAAGAGCCGCGCAGAGTGTGTGTGTGGCTCTTGGGGGCTTCTCCCTCCTCGGGGAAAAGCCTGCATGCATACAGGCTCTGCTCAGCACACCCTTTAAATATTTATTTTCCCTTGCATTCCTCCTCTAAAAACTAGGTGCACCTTATGGCCAGGTGCATCTTATGGAGTGAAAAATACGGTGTTTACTCAGTTTCCCTAATTAAATATGTGTTGGGGGGGTTATTGTTTTAGTTTGTTACTATGTTATGTATCTTTTTGCTTTTGTATTGTAAACTCCCCTGTGATCCCCGGTATAGAAACTTAATATAACCAAATAAATGCAGCCACTTTCTCTACAGTGGTACCTCGGGTTAATAACTTAATTTGTTCTGGAGGTCTGTTCTTAACCTGAAACTGTTCTTAACCTGAAGTACCACTTTAGCCAATGGGGCCTCCTGCTGCAGCTGTGGCACCGGAGCACAATTTCTGTTCTCATCCTGAAGCAAAGTTCTTAACCCGAGGTAATATTACTGGGTTAGCGGAGTCTGTAACCTGAAGCGTATGTAACCTGAAGCATATGTAACCCGAGGTACCACTGTAGTTCCATTTAACAGCTTGGAGTAGTAAAACTGTCTAAGTGGTAAAGCTGACTAGGACTGCTAGTCATTGTCACAAGGTAAATTACTCAATTAGCTGTGCAGAAAGTATTTCATGTTGCACAGAGCAAAGTTTCGAAGTTGCTCTAGTAATTACAGAGCAGAGCTGTACGTGTTACTCTCCTAGGCACTACACAAAAGGCATTGGCAACAGCTACACCAAAACAGACACACATCCGTTCCAGGGATCTATTGCATTCCTCCAAAGGCTAACATTGTCTTTTACAGAGTACAAATTAGAGCCCTATGGGAACTTGCAAAATCAATCTGACTAAAGGCCACCGCAGGACACCTGCACACAAACACCCTGTGTACCACTGGCAATATAGCTCTACATCACCCCCTAAAAATCTCTGTAGAGCTGTCATTTGTACACAGCCTCAATCTGTCATTGCAAAACCAAATGTCAGCTCACATGTATTTTTAAAGTAGCAGAGATGTCACTTACCCGTAAGAAGGAGAGATCTCGGTTATGTTCAATGCTGGTGATTTCTAGGTTACCCATAACTACCTCGCAGTTCTCATAGTACTTTCGCAATGCACGATACTGTTGCTCAAGATCAGACAAAGAGCTTAGCTTGTTCTCCGTGCCAGCACAAACTGGAAGAAAGATGAGAGGGAAGAAAGAATTAGAAGTAATGCAAATATGTAGCAACTGTAGCAAGATATACAAGAACAAGGTTTCTGTACATGATGCACTTGACTCCATTAGACCATGCCTCTTTACTCCATGCATTATGCTTGAAGCAAAATGGTAATATATACAAAAGTAAGCTACAATCCAGTGAATTCATTTGAGCAAAATGTACAAAATGGTTCATGCCCACAGGGTGTTTTCTCACTCTCCTGACTGTCAGCCATTTAGCCAACCTCTTCCACATTCAAATATGCTTTTTAAACATCCACAAGATTTGCAGCAACAGAATACATGGGGTAGATACAGGTGGGATTCCAAACAGAAAATGAGAAAAGCTTCATTACGTTCCATGATCTGCATATGTGCAACTCTGCATTGAAATTAATATTCACAATGGGATTTCAAGCATGTGTATGCTGCAATTCAAAAGTGGTGTATATTGAAATGGGATCAGAAGATCGGTAGTGATGCCTGAAAATATATCAGTGGGGCAGCCAGTGGAAACCTAGCACAGACTCAAATGTACATTACCTTACAGTGGGTGATGAATGTGGTGACCAATCCCAACTATGGAGAAATGCTTATAAACTGAGCTAGTTTGTGGTCATACACTGACATAACTTTTGCAGCATCTTAACAACCACTCAAGAATCCAGGATAATGAAATAAATGTTGATGTCATCAGAATTCACTAAAGGTTTGTTTTAAATAGCCACTATAACTTAAAGGCACTGGACCTAAGTAGGTCTGAGTACAGTACACGACAGAGGGGGTGTTTGGATATTACCAAATAAGAAGGAAAGACTTCTTTTGGTAGAAGGCTTAGCCAAAGCACAGAAATACAAGTAGTTTCAGAATGCCAATCAAAAGAAGCTGGGTTTCAGTTATTTTGCACCTGAATGAAACAATCAAATTTATGTGCCTTCTGTGCTCTTCTGTTCTGTTTTGTTTTAATGGTGAATAGAGATGGAGTCCAGGGCAGAAAAATGTGCACCCTCTCAAGCTCACCACTGCAAGTGCCTCCTTAGTGCTACACAATAAGCCAAGGCTTGCTGAAACCAAACACGGTGATGCAGAACAATGAAGGACCAGCATGTACAGTTATCTCTTGAAAGCTTTTGTGGGATTACCAGTTTCATGTAACCAACATGCTTAAGTATAATTACTGCATGAAGGGGTTAATGTAATAGAGTAAGCTGTTCTGCCAGACTTCTCTAGGTCACTCCCCTTCACCTTGGGAGGAAAGTAACCAAGCCTATTGTTCCCTTTTAGTCTACCTGAGAAGCTTAGCATGTAAAGATGTCTTAGCTGCTTGTTCCAAGCTCAGACCTCATGGCTCTTACAAGCCATTATTGTGTACCAATAATTTAGGAACTCTCACCACTGTAACTAAGCCAAGTTGTACTGCCTGTGCCTTCTGAATGCTGCATTGAAAAGCACCTGAACCTGATGTTTGGAGAGTAAGTAAACCAAACGTGTGGTCTTTTCTATGCTATGGGAAGAGGGAAGTTTGGGAACTCACAAGGCCATATTTTAAAGGTCTAACAGCCTATGTTTCCATGCTTTACTTTGCTGTATATTTTGTGATTATAAAGAAGAAGAAGAAGAAGAAGAAGAAGAAGAAGAAGAAGAAGAAGAAGGAGAGGACGACGTTATTATTATTTATACCCTGCCCATCTGGCTGGGCTTCCCCAACCACTCTGGGTGGCTCCCAACAGAATCTCTGCTGGGGTTCTCTCACCAGAGAGTACTTGCCCCAAACCTGGATTTTGGCATCTAGGAATTCTTTTTTCTATAGACCTATCTTTTCCTTGCCACCAACAGCTTTTAGAATTATATTATCAATAGTAGCAACAGTATGAACCTCTTCCCCTCACTTCTAATTGTAACTGCCTGCAAGCATCATCTACTAACTTTTTTAAAAAAAGAACTTTATTTTTACCAGCATATTCTTGCACTGCCAATCAAGAATTTTATCGGAGAGAAGAGGAGGTGGTAGTAGTAGCAGCAGTGTGGGCTACCCAAGTCATAGTGCTAGTTGCCCAAGAGAAGCCACCTGTCGCTGCAGGTCAGGTCTTGCTGCCCAGCTCATGTCAGGTGCAAGCTGAGCCCAATCCAAGTAATTGCCAGTTTATGTTCCTGGCGAGTCAGGAGCAGTGTGTTGAGGTTGGGAAGTCAGCAAACAGTTATTTGATTTTGCAAAGATCTTGTTGACAATATGGATGCCCTGCCCCTACACACACATGACCAGATCACACAGGCATTAGAGACTCATAAAGAAATTGATGTAATTTGCAGGCAGAAGAGCATTTTCAGGGGCAAGGGAGCTTGGTTCAAAATACATCCACGTCTTGTGAGATGGGCAAATATGTATTGCAACCCAGATTTTTTTGTAGCCGAAGGACAGAGAGAGTGCAAAAGAATCCTTTCCCCCAGGTCCAGACAGTCCCCAGTTATGGAAAAAGAAACTGCATTCGAATGTAAAGGTTGGATAAAACTATGCCAAAAACTAAAATCATACAAACAACCACCCAGATTCTGCAGCCGATTCAAAGACTTAGGATGCCCAGCTTCAAGAGGCTGGAAGGGAGTACGTTTCTTCCCTGATTTTATGGCAGATGTCGTATCCAAAAGGGGAATACAACCTCTACACTACAGAAATCTCTCCGTGCAAATTTCCTCTTGGATTTTACTTACTTAAAAGTGTACATCTGAACATTCTGGCAGCTCCAGCAATCTGGATTACTGGCCACCACCGCACAGTTTAATGGTACACACAGCAGCTAGGTGCTCTGAAAATGTGTTGGCTCAGCACCATGTTGCTTGCAAACATCCTATCCAGAAAAGATAAAACTCCATGCCTGGTCCAAAGAGGATTCTCCAGGAATTCATTCATAAATCTCTTGCCTTTGAGAAATATGAGCCAGCATGATACTTTGGTCTATTTCTATCCCATGCTAAATAAACAGCTATTTGAGTTCTCCACCCACCCCATCCCAAATATTTCACCTCCAAAAAGGAAAGACTAGAGGCCAGATTGGTTTGATTTCAGGAAGGATTTTAAATTTAGGAAAACAAGCATAGATACACCTGGCAGCAAAAGTGCAATAAGATGTATTTTGGGGAAGAACATTTTCTGTCTGTATCCTTTTGATACATTGGAGTAAAATACCAAAAGATGAGCAGAGCATTGCGGGAGAATTCTTTCAGTTTAGTGACAACCTTTCTGACGAAAGCCTAGGAAATAAGTTCCAGGTTTAAGAGAGTTTCTGAAGTCTGAGACGGAGCAGAAGTATATTATGCAAATCTGCAGACAGAAGAAACTGACACAATTGTTTCCTTGAAAAATAAACCTGCAAGACATAGCTAACCATGTGAAAATGACCCCTGTGGCGCTGGAGAAACACAGGCCCTATTTATAATGACAAAGGAGTGCCTCCTTCAAGTGAGACTAGTGTCAGAATCCCTACTGGAGGTCAGAATCAGTAAGGTTCTCTACAAGATTGCAATTGTAAGTTTCATAAAACATTTTCATACGGTATGTTTAGATATATTATGGCCTTATAAGAAAGCGCCTTGCTACTCTTTCAAGATCTGAGTAGAAAGACCAAAGATCTTCCTGTTCTGGAGAAAAAAGAACAAAATGGGATTGGTGTAGCAGAGTATAAAAAGCCAGGCAGAAACCACGAGAGCCCCAGAGAAGGTTCAGTCATGCTAATGCAGAGGGCTGCCATAGAGTAGTGGCATTAAGTGACAGTCAGGAAGCCCCAGCCATGAATTCACACAATTGCCTAATTTCTCATCAGGCTACAATAATAATACCAGCCCACCTTACAGTAAAGTTGCAAGAATGAGTGCACTGTAGTGATAAAATATATTATACCACGACAACCTACCAGGGTAAGTGTGTCTATATATTTTCCCACATATGTATCAACCTGAGATAAAGGCACATGAATTGTGTTGGACATGTATAAATTGCTATACAATTGCCAAGTATTAATACACAGAGCCTTCTGCCTGCTTAGCAAAGAAATTAGGAGTCATATAGACTTGTACATATTTTTAGCAGCCACCCCAATGCATGACAACAAGCAAAAAACACTAATGCTATACATGGAATGAATTTGGCAAACTATGGCTAGTCCAAAATATGTTTAATTATCAGAAAGTGAAATGACAGATGTTGAAGTTTGAACACATGACATTGTCCAACTTTTGAAATCTAAACGGGGTTTTTTTCCATAAAAATATCAGCACTGACACATATCTACTCAGATTTAAATATTCAACCCCAAATGTTGACACCTGCAATGAAAATACTAGGATGGTTCCAGACTAAGCTAATCATACAGTAATGACTACCTTCAATTTATTTGTATTTATGTTCTTAAATTTATAACACCCTTTTCTTCCACCCACTCTGAGCTGATTTTGGGGTGCACCTGGGGGGAAAGAGTGGGGGGAAGTCCTGTTGTACAAGTGGAATTCCTTGAACAGGACTTCTGCTGATGGGACCTATTAGCTGAATACCACCCTAAGTAAGGATCCAACACCAACTGAAATTCTGACAACAAAGAAGACTTTAAACAGAAAATATATTAACCTGCTACTATTTTCAAAAACCAAGGCTGGTGTGTGGCCTCTAACTATTTTAGCCACGCATTTTTTGCTTTCTTGATGGTGCTGTAGGAGCTGCGCAACCACACACTGCATCTTCCGCATTCTGCTCCTGCTTTAATGAGGTTAACTGTTTAAATGACAGATTAATAAATACAAAGAGTTCAATGGCATATTTTTTCATCACATCATAAAACATGCATTCTGAAATTTATTATATGTGATGGACCAAACAAGAAACATAGAGACAGAGCTACATTCTACAAATGATTACAGAAATATATAGTCATTCTGCAGTTATCCCTTGATTAATTCCATTTTAACATTTAAATAATTGCTAATA